GAGACCCCCCCCCGCACCCCCTTTCTACCTCCCTGGCTCCGCACCACGGCCTCATCCTGCCCTGCCACGGGGGGGGGGCAGCCCACGCCCACGCTGCGGGGATGGGGCTCAGCATCCTCCTCCTCGCCCCAGCACCCTCAGAAGGGGGGACCAGCACCCCCCAGCATCCTCAGGACCCCCTGGGGGGCGGGTTGGGTGCGTGTCCTCGCTTGGAGCCCCGCAAATGTGGGGGGGCCGGAGGAGGGCAGGGCCAGCCTGAATTATTGATGGTGGCAAGATGCTGGCGGAGGTGACCTGCTCTCAGCAGGCGCTGAAATATTTATTCCAGGGAGGGGGGCAAAGAGAAGGAGGCGGCTGCCATCCTGCCTCTCCCCCGGAGAAAGGGGGGGAAGCATCCATGGCTTGGCTAAGCTTCAAGGGAGGGAGCGGGGAGCCCCCCCCCCCATTCCCCCTCCATCGCTGGGGGCTTCTTCTAGGGAAGGGGATGGGAGTTTTGGGGGGGGGTCCCCAGCATCTCAGGGGATCTGCAGCGGCCATCAGGGTGTGAAACCTGGCTGCAGCCTTTTGGGAAGGATCGGGCCCCCTCCCCGCCACGTGCGCCTCGGCGGGAGCGGGATCGCTCCCACGCTGGGGGGCTGAGCGAGCTTTCGGTTTGGGGGTGACAGCAGCAGCGGGGCCCCGACCGCACCCCGCTCCCCTGGGGCTGGGCGCGCTGGTCGGGGGGCACCGAGAAGCAGAGAGGGAAGGGAGCTCAGCAGGGAGGGGTTTCCCTCTTGGAGGAGCCTCCAAATACCTTGACCGGCATCTTCATCCAGCGAGGAGGAGTGGGGCTGGCAACATCCCTGGGGATGGACCCTGTCGTCCTCCCTGGTTTGGGTCTGATGGGCGATCTCTGCATTTTACCCTCCAGCCAGGGCGTGAACGCCACAGGAGGTCTGGGAGAAGGGTTTCTGTAGCATGAAATCCAGCCAGATCCTCCCACAATCCCAAGGAAAATAAGGATTTGGGGTGGTAACGCAAGGGGCGGGGAGGGACGAGCAAGAATAATGTTTTCAGCTGCCTGCTTGCAGGCAGGCAGCTCCCAGCCGGGCTGTCAGAGCTCCAGGCACATGAGCCATCAGAGCATCCCCACCCTGCCTTGGCACCATGGGTACGGCCCTGGGTAACCCCCAAACCCCCCCAGCCCTGGCTCTGGGGGTCACCAAAAAGAGGGGAGCATCCCCAGGGAAGGTGTCCCCGGCAGGGTGTCCCCCCATTTTGTCCCTGTTCCCCCCCACCCCGGCAGCTGCGGGCAGGTTATTTGTGTGATCCCCATCTCAGATCCCAGCGGGATGGGGGATGAGATGTTGGGATTTCTCAGGAACCCCCCAGATGGAGCTGGGTCGGGAGCTGGCAGTGCCCGGGATGCCCACGGAGGGGGTTTGCCGCTTTCCTGGGGGGCTGCAAGGATTTAAGCATTTTAAAGAAAGATTTCCCCCCCCCCCCCCTTGAGAAACAAACACATACAAA